GTGTGTGTGTGTGTGTGTGTGTGTGTGTGTGTGTGTGTGTGTGTGTGTGTGTGAGATGGACGGCAGTGAGACAATCAACCAATGAACTGATGTGATTATGCTGCTTTATAGCCACACTCTTTTTACTTGTCACCATGTGAGGCACACGTAGACACAAACACACATGTACAAACTGAAAGTTTGTTTTATGTACCTGAACACAAACTGCAGAATTGAGTCCCAAACCTGGAAGGACCAGTCCAACCAGTTTAAATCATCGTCAATATAGCAACTAAATTTGCTCCCACATTCGAGCAACGGAGGTGGCTTGCGAAAGTGCCGTGCCAGCAGTGTGTGTGCTGTACTCTTTGTCCTCAGATGCACAGACCTCAGGGTATAACGTGCACTTCCTAACTGATTTGCTATGTTTTCCCTTCATTAATAGTTTGGAGTTTTATTATTTCACGTCATGTCTGCCACATCTAAGGGATACAAATTAATTTGCATTCATTCATTAAAATGTAGTGCTATCTATCAAGCATATGGGAGAACATTTTGAATCTCTCTCTTTTCTTCTACAGCCAGACTCAAGGTCAAAGGTCATCGCTACAGCAATGGAGTGCTTCAATGACCTGCTCCATAAACTGCAGGAGGTTCACGAAAGAGAAATGGAGGGTGAGCGGCAATTTTGATTAAAGAGCAGCTATTACAGAAAAAAGAATGCGGAAAAGTTGCAATTCAGCTTGAATAAATTAGTTTAAGAGAGTCTGCAGAAACAATTTCCCCACAAGTCCTCCCAACCAGATGTTTTTTTGACTTTTAGGATGGCAAGTGAAAGTCCAAGAGCTGTCCAACAAGAAAGGCTGGTAAGTGGCTTTTTCACCTCCTGCAGATTTCTGGAAGGCTGTGTCTACAAAACTCTGATAATCAAGTTTAGCCATAAACAAGTTCAACCAATCTGAGAGCTCTGCTCAGACCTGAAGTCTTTGTGGACGAGGAAGGCATGCTGGAGTTGCACCTGGCCCTGTGTTCGTTCATGTCATGTTTGGCTTGTGAGGAAGCTCCTGTCGTAACAAGTCAAGTCACAATAATTGTATTCTTTGTTTTTGCTGAGCTAGTGGGAAAAAAACGACTTGCATTTTACTTTTTCACATTCTAACATTTTGCGAATGAAGATTACATACAAAGTAGGCCTACAGCTGAGGCTGATGGGAATGTCACTAGCTTTGCAGGTATTTGTTCATGAATGGAAAAACCACTGGACAAATGAAAGATTTGACCTTATAATGGTGTAAGGTGAAGTAAAAGGAATTACAATTCACTCCAAGGGGAATATGAATGTACCTACATAGTTTGATGGCACATTGAAGTGCTCAGAGAGTATACATCACTTGAAACTTAAGATTTGGCTGCTAATTCATGTTTTGTCTGCGTGTGTGTGCATGTGCACTGATGACAACAGTGATACTAAGCGAATGGAGGAACTGTTCACCAGAAACCAGCAGATGAAGGAACAGCAAAGATTACTCACAGAGAACATCAAGACACTGGAAAACAGGTACTGCTTTTGTCTTGCACCATAGCATGTGTGTGTGTGTGTCTGTGTGTGTGTGTGTGTGCAGCACTATAAGGGAATACACTAAGCAAGTAAGGCCTCAATATGAAGTTGGCATTGCTAAATAATCATGTGTCCAAAAACAAGGAAAGGCAATGACATGATAATGTTAAAGAGCTGTAAAAGTATGAGCTCATCAAGTTTTCTCTTGCACCAAATGTGGTCTCTCTTTCCAGGAGTGGGTGTATTGATGGTCAATCGTTTAATTCAGTTTTTAATACAGTCCTCTGAGGGCCACAAACACCAGCTTATCTCTTTTTTTTCAGACAACTTTCTTTTTTTTATTGATGGCCATCAGGATGTGAAAAGAAATTCCACAACTCAGATAGAAAGTGCTGCTGAAACAAATGACCAACTCTACCTTTAACCTGCATGCATCTGCATTGATACAGAATAAGTATGGCTGTCGCAGCAGAACCTATGTCTGTACTGAAATGAAGCATTGCGTTAGTTCATGCAGGACACAGGGTCATGTGCTCAGCTGTCAGCTACCAATAGGTCTATGGGTGCTCATCAGCCACCCACCAATCAGAGCCCACCGAGTCCAAACACGCTCGTGGTAAACGATATTCATCTTAAACAAATGTACATTGCCAGCCACACCCAAAAGGGGGTTCTGCGCATGTTTCCTTTTTTATTTTAGCATCCTCCTCGGCTAATCCAGGGAATATCCAAAGAATGGAGCCTTCAGCGCCAATCATAACTGTATCCCCACTTGTAGCAAATGGGTAAATCATGACATACTGTTCCTGACTGAAATGAGTAATAGTACGTTTGGTCACATATAAGGAAGATTTTTCATTTGTAAAAGGAAACTGGTCTTATTTCTTCCTTCAAAACATATTCTCACATAGTCCTGCTCCAATGGATTTCCAATGCCAGTGGGTCTTAGTGAGGAAACTAAACCCCCAAATTATCCTAGCAGCTGTGCCAGCAGAAATATTGCTGTGTATAGAAGCTCTGTGTGAATGAGTGAATATAACTATGATGAGACAGAAAAAGCACAGTAAGTAGAGTCAAATTCACAAGCTGATGCATTTAGTGTGTGAAAGATGTAGCATTATGGTATCTTTTTATTGGTTGTGGTTGTGATATTGTGTGGTTTCTGCTGCCTGTGCAGGCTGAGAGCGGGGCTGTGTGACAGGTGCACAGTTACTCAGGAGGTAGCCAGCAGAAGACAGCAGGAATTTGAAGCATCACAGATACAGAGCCTGCAGCACATCTCTCGACTGGGTATTCTTTCTCATCAGGGATCAATCCAACCATACATGTGCATTTTTCACCCACTTCTTGTCTTTTATTTAATATTTCTTCACAGTGTAGTTGAAACAAAATATTTCTTATCCACTCTTTGGTATCTGGTGTTTTTGCACCTTTCTTTCAGATATCTATCCAAAATGTTCCTTTCAACCAAACATATTTTGAAGACATCTTTGCTGTTAAGTGCTCTGATCCTGATTTGGTTTCTGTATTGTAGTGGGAGAGATGAACAACCTCAAAAGGGAGAACAAGAGATTCAGAGATGAAATCAGGAGTTTTAAAACAGCATTAGAGTAAGTATAAGATTGTTTGATTTTACTTTACTGTTTTAGGGTGAGTCAATTTTGATATTCAATCAATGGTGGTTTTGTGTGTGTGTGTGTATGTGTGTGTGTGTGTGTGTGTGCGTGTGGCAGAGGTCACAGTGACCACTCCTCAAACAGCAGCACCATCATAGAGGCCAAACCAAACAGCTCCCCGGACTTTTCGCCGTCTTCTGGACCTGAGGCGCTCCTCACTGCAGCAGCCAGCAGGGCCAGCAACCAGCCATCGGACTGTGATGTTGGGAAGAAACCTGAAAGAGACCAAAGAACAGAGGGTGAGGATGAAGAGTTTGCTTTTTGTGTCAAATGTAATCCCCTCATGCTCGCGCACATTCACGTCTTTTGTTTCTGATACACAGAAGCTGAACACAGACAGTCAAGAGGGATGAACAGAAGCCACTATGTAAGTTTCCACTCTCTTGCTGAGAGTTAGATCAACAACAGTCTCATATCTGTGTGTTAAACATGAGGGTGAAACTGGGAGTTGGTTAGCCATGCTAATCTTAAAGTTCCTTGAGACTGAGCCAGGCTACCTGTCTCCCATGTTTCTGTTTTTTCTGTTCATCTGTTTTTTACAACTTAAGTCCTAGAAAGAGCCTAAATGTCAAAGTGTTTTTCTCCCAATGTTAAACAATTCCCTCAATTTATGAATAGCCACAAGAATTTCAATCAATCAATCAAATTTTATTGCACATATTTACAAACCAAATTCGTGTCATAGGGTTTAATGAGGTGTGACATCTTCTGACCTTAACCCTCAACAAGTCAGGAATAACTTATTTCTGCTTTCTGTCCATCTCTATCTCCCAGGAGTCATATAAGCCTCTTGTATTGCCAACTCTTGCATCACCACCATGGAAGGCAGAGCATGGCGTAACCCGTGCTGGAGAGAGGAGGTGAGCCCGACAGACAAAGGAAATAGCAAAATAGGGTGTTGTGCCAGTAAATGAGAGTATGCAGGTGTGACTGGGTACCAGCCCTTTGAATCAATTGTTCATCTGAAAGACCAGAAAAGCAAGATCCACATGTTTACATTTTAGTCCTTAAGTGCATCAGTTTAGCTACTTTTACTTCTATCTCCCCTACTCAGATCCCCAAGGACTTTTGGGGGGCTCCCTGATTTAGTCCCATTAGTCATGACTCAACTGCCATTTGTAAATCAATCATGGGAAACAAATGACAAGTTTAGCAAACCCCTACTGTCAGTAATAATTCCAACTCAGTGTTGGTCAAAACTTCAGAATCCGTGGTCTTAAACCACAGATGGCCACTGAGCTCAGCTTCGACAGGTGTACTCATTGTCATTATTATTTTGTGTGTAAACTAAACATAGAGATATATCATTCAGTTTCATTTCACCAAATCTGGGATTAAATTTAGAGGAGGTTTGCTCCAAATCTTGGATACTGTGTGGACAATTTAACCTCTCCCTATCTGACCTCTGTTTCTCCTAAATAGAGCTCAGAGTAATGAAGGACTGGACCGGCGGTCCCCCATTGCTCCTCAAGCTCTCCTTCCTAAAACATCTTCCCCGACCACCAGTGGAGTCAACCTCAGTAGACATGTGCTCCACACTCCTGTCCCCTGCCGGCCTCAACCAATCAAGAGTAGCACTCTAAGTCTCCCCTGGCCCTTATCTGAAACCTCTGACTGGGTTTCTATGGCAGCGGCAGGAACCAGCCAGTTGATGCAACCTTCTTCCAAACCACATCTGTCACGCTTTCCCAACCTTATCCCAAATAGCCAACATGCCAGTACTAGAAGGCCAGCTTTTGGGTCTCCCTGGCCCAAACACAACATTAATCCATCCCCTGTAAAAGAGCCAACTGTGGTGTTCAGGTTCAAGAATTTGTCAGACCACCCAGAGAGTCAAATTAAGCCCCAGGAGAAGAAGGACAATCAGCCAATTAAGACTGAGAGTGTCTCTGGAGAAGGACTTAAAGAGATGTATGAAGGGCCTCTGGACCTTTCAGATCGAGGAAAGTCCAAATCCGGCCAAACGCCAAGAGATGATTCACCCTTAGGCTTACAAGGTGGAGAGAGAATACAGATGAGCCCTGACAATGCACTGAAAACAAATACACTTGCACATGTACCAGTTTCCTCACCTTTACCTGTCTACCCATCCTCATCCTCCTCTACACCACCAGTCAAACAACAAGAGGAAGAACTTACCAGTGATCACAACCACAAGGTAATTTTTCACACAGCAAACAAATTAAAAGACAAAGTAACAGGAGCATGGGTAAAGAGGGGACAAACAGGATTTACAGTCTGGTGGTATCATGATGGTTTCATCACAGCAGGTAATCAAAGATGAGGAGCAGAAAGAGGAGGTGAATGGAAAGACAGACCAGACCACTGAAAAGAAGGTGCCTGTCCTCACTATATCTTTACGTCCAGGTAAAGAGCTTTGATTCTCATGTATCTGAGTTGTGTTGGCACCCATGGATTAATTGTGCAGAGATCAATAATACTTATTAGACTCATGTTTCTGTAACAGTAGTACTCCTGGAGACTCTGAATTCTGCTCTGCAAAAGCAAGAATCCATGTCGTCTAATGGAAAGGTAAGGTCATTCAAGCCACAAGAGTAGATACCCTGTATCCTGTGTTAGCATATATGTGCTCATTCAATAAGATTTTATCTTTTACCTCTAAAGTGACACAGATTCACTTCCAGGTATACTCAGGCTCCCCCTACAGGTGGAATGTGTAATTCACTGTTATAAATATGAGTTGCTGTCTAGGCCTCCCCAAACTCACAATTGAACATGTGCATTTGTTGACAAGCTGATGAAGAACAGACCCACAGCCGGCTACCTCAGAAGCCAAAGTTGACTGACAAGGTTATGGGGTCTGGCTGTAAACATTCACTGCACTCAACTCAATAACAGTAGCATTCAAACTAACAAGCTAACCGACAAGCAAAGGGCCGATGAAATCCTGTACACAGCTAGTTGTCTCTTATAGCTAGCAGTGAGTTACACTAGAGTTACAAAGTGCATTTCCCGGCGTCCAGGGATCACTGGGGTAAAGACAGACAAGACGTTCTCCCTGTTATAAGTTTGTGTACCATTAAAATGATTTTGCAGCTGTTTAAAACGTCCTAGCGTTGTTTTGAATATGAGCTGTTTCTAGTTCATTTTCTCTTTAAGTAAAGGTTTATTTGTGATGTGAGCGCTGATGTCCCTCTGCCCAGTCACAGTCATCATCACCAGCAGCTGAACCAGGGATAAGCTCAGATGAGCAGGAAGAGGGCTGCAAGAGGAAGAGGGCCTCTGCAGAAACCGACTCAGACACAGACAGTAGGCATCAGTTTAAATTCAGTCAGTCATCCCTTCTTCCTTCTTTTCTTCTCCTCCTGGGTGTGGTCTTCAAAACACAACACCCACCTTATTGCACTTCTAGTCCTGTGATAAAAAACACACACACATATATATATATCTATATAGATATAGATATATATATGTATTTTGGATACCTGGACAGCATCAAGTTAGCTTAGCTTTCCCTAAAGCTGGAGCCAGGGAGAAACAGCTAGTCCAAATGAAAAAAACCTATCACTATTGAACATGCTATATATAGTATTTTGTTTGTTAAAGTTATACACAAATCAAAGTGGGGAAAAAATCAAGTTTTGATTTTACAGAGGGTTTTGTGTTGGACTATTTTAACAGGACGTCACTATGCATGGCCAAGTAATACTCCTCCTCACAACCTCCCACCCACCCCTGGCTATGGTCAAGAGGGCAGCTTTTCTCAAATTGTCAAACTATTTTCAGATGGCTTATAATTAGGGCCTGAGCACCGTCTGTGCCAGGCCGTATTGAAATTTGTGTGATTATTCAATTTGAATTTCTGATAACCAAACATTCTGCATGTAAATCAGATGAATGCTAAAGGGTGTAATTACTTGATATCAACTGCTTTTAGATATAGACCCTATATGTCCTCTGAACTACTTATTTCTCCTAAGTCTGTATTTATAAATGTATAAAAATAAACATAACATCAATATTTTCACTCCCCACAAAAAGGAGCTCCTCTGAACAATTTCCTTTTCTTCCTCAAAGATATCCAGTACAAAAGAAACCAAGGAGGGGAGCCCCAGCAAAAGAGAATGATGTCACATTGATTTGGTGATCCAGCTCAAACCTGCGTTAAGTGATTGTTTGGACCACTTGGGGGCAGTACAACATTCTGAAAACAGAACTGAGAAACTGAGACTCAACACTGACACATCGCCTTATAAAATAGAAACAGGCAGCAAATCAGTGAACACTATTAACTGTTTAAATGTTGAATTAGAGGATGGAAAAATGTCCATATAGCTCAGGGGATCATCATCATCATTGGTCTATTCATTAGGAGCAATTTTTCTTGTGACATTTTTAAACATCAGGGTTCTTTCTTACCTGTGGCGCAGTGCACTCTGTCCCTTAGTCATTTACTGAGCAGCAGTAATTGATAATGGGTGGCAAAACAGAATATATCTGACTTAAATTCAAATGTGGTTAAGACTCTATTGAGTATTTATAGGTTGGAAGTAATATTCCCATTAGCTTCTTACAACCTTAACCAGATTAAATTGGAACACACTTTCAACATTACAGAGAAACCCAACCGTTCCCACAATGTTTGACACTGTCGAGAGAAAAACTCCCTCATTAACTGGGAGAAACATCTAGCCATCTACCATTAATAATAATTGTTGATGATAGTGTCAAATGTGGATCCCGCAGCTCTGGAGTCAGAGATCCCTGCAGAATATGAGAGAGAGACTGAATTGTGTCTGTTGCCATAAAGAAGTCTCTTTTGTCCTTGAGAACTGATAACGATATGTTTAATATATTCAAATGCCACAAATTGAGCCTTTAAAAAGAGATGGCTGTTATTGTAGCTTCTTACTCCATGTAGTGTTTGCAGTTATTGGTCCTGCTAAGAAATGAATTTGCTATTTGGGACATTCCATTGTTAAACAGTGCTTTATGTCATGTAAACATCATACTCTATTGATTATTGGGTCTGTTAATTCTTTGGTGAAACAAATACAACTTTCCATGGTATCACTGAGTCCAAAATAACAATATGGGGATGAGTATCCATTGTTCGACTATTTCCATCTGAATCAAACATTTGTTTAAATCCCTTTACTCGGGTGATACATTAATCTTCGCCAAGGTGAATGTAAATGAGCATGTGCTTAAGTATTCTGTTTAGCAGCTTGCAACTGTTTGGTGGGGAACTGACTCCTAGTCAGGCTTAGAAAGTCACACATTGCGCAACACATACCAGCCCTTGCATTTCCACAATGTACAAATCAAGCTCCCTGTATGACCAGCTGAAGACAAGTGCAGTGACCAAAAGACAAATGGTCTGATTCAAATGACAGTGTGAATTTTGCTCTGTCTCCTCTCAGTTGAGGAATGCTCTAATCTTTTCAACCCACAAATACAACTAGCATCAATGTCCGTAATGCCACTGCAGGAAACAGCACCATCATCATCTAATTGAACACTTCGATGCCAGCAACCAATGGTTTGATATTCCATTTCCAACCAATCAGTGTTTGGGTCTGTCGGTATAGTCCTGCTCACCAATACTCATCACACCCTGCTCACTATACTGTTCTACTATTTATAGTTATTTGACTTTGCCAGCATTGCAGTCACTGCCTGGCTATTTTTGCCACCGAGAACCCACCCCTCCCCTTCTCCCACCACCGTTTCTCTAAGTGACCTAAAAAGAAAAAAAGAGAATAACCTCTTCCTCTTCCTCTTTTTCAGAACGCACATATTTTGCAAGTATTAACTTTCCACTCACAGCTGCAACAGCTTGTCTTAAGCCGGTGGATGGAGGAAATGAAAAGTGAGAAAAAGTGACAGAGTCAGTTTAATAACTTAAAGGGATACTTCACCGAAAAATGAAAATTAACTCTTTATCTGCTCACCACTATGTCGAAGTGTTTGAGTCCACAAAACACTTTTGAAGTATGAGTTTTCGGTGAGCTAACCCTTTAAACCTTTATGGCTACAGCACTGTTAGGTCAAGCTGTCCCTTTTTCTACTATAAAAATTTATTTTTTTCTAAAGATGTCCTAATTAATGGGCAGAATCAAACAACATTTACTCGAAATATAAAATTATGATATATGTCTCTCTTTTCTTTTTCAAATATGTACACTTTTTGCTCTCCTGTGTGTGACAACTCCAACGCGTGCAGTCCTAATGAATGTATATTGATTTCTACTGTTTCTGTCTGTCTCTTTAAAGCCATTAGAGTCCATTAAGTACAGTACTTGGTCAATGGTCAATGTACAAAATAGCCTTCCGGCCATATATCTGTTAATTAAAATGTGATTGACTGTGATACTATAAGTGTGTACTTTGATGCTAATCCATCAGTGTGTTGCTGCATGGTCTAACCAGATATGTTGTGTTCTAAAATTATCAAACACACACTGAGAAACTTCTGTATGAATGCACTTCACCTGATGCTGAAATAAATTTCCTTTCCTGTCACTTTTACTCTGTCACCTCTGATGAGAATTCTGGGAAACGCAAGTAACATCATGTCTGACTTCTCGCTTACGACATCATAAAAAACTTGTGGCGTGATGTGGACATCGTCGAAGGTTTGTCATGTCGTGGTGCAATGTGATACAACTTTACTGTTACAAGAAATTTGTTTCTTAGTCACCCTTCTATTCAGTGATTTAAGACAACACAGCAGAGCATTTGACCATTTCTGTTGAAAATATCACACATTGAGTCGTGTGCTGCTTTCTACACCCACAGGAAATTTCTTTTTCAACTATTTCAGTGATCTAGCTTCGTTCTCTTTGATAGTAGTCTTCGTTCTAATTTGAACCGAAACACTTTTACCTGTGATAAGATACTTTTAAATAAGCTCAATGAAAATCCCATCAATTACTAAAATGTAACTATTGTTCTAATTTCAAAGGAGACATATTATGCTTAGTTGAAATCATGATCTTGAAGACCAGTAGCCTATAATATGTCTCTATTAAAGGACAAGTGTACAATTTATATACATCTAGTGGTGAAGATGTAGATTGCCACCAACTGAACCTATGGATTTAGGCACTTAACCCATAAACATATTTATACAGTGAGATCTTTAAATGTTTAGTGTGTAGGATTACATGTGTGGCTACTGAAGGGCACACCATCTGTCAGTCACAACCAAATAAAGTCAAGACACAAATTCAAAGAGGGACACAGGTCCTGGTTTACAAGTCACAAGTAAGTGTAGAGTCTGAAAAAGTTCAGACTCAATGATAACTAGCCACAAGTTATTACAGGTAAGTCCCAAATCAGGATGGATGACTCCCAAGTCGAGTCTAAGTTATTAGCTTTTTGTTTTGTATTCAAAATAGGTCACATTTCACTAAACTCAGTATTGTTTTGAATGTTAAACATTTAATTTAGGACATCCACACAAACACTGGCTGTGCACACGTAGTCTTTTTCATCTTCTACATAAAGTCACAAGTCATAGACTAATCTTAGTCTGAGTGAAACAGGACCATTATCTTATATCAAATAAAAATAATAATAATAATAAAAAATGAATAATTTGGGGGCAGTGTATAGCTCACCTGGTAGAGCTGCTGCCCCCAACAAGGCAGGGCCTCAACCCACAGAGGACCGGGTTCAATTCCGACCTGCACTCATCCCCCACTCTCTCTCGGTCCCCCCCTCACAGTTTACTCTCTGTTCCATCCATCAAAAGCAACCTGCATGGAGGAATTACAAAAAGATTAAGAAACTAGGAAATGATCTACAGGGATACAAAATGTAGGAAATTGGCAGATAAAATGTGTTCCAGTGAGCAGGTGCTCTATCCGCAGGCAGCTGGGCTCACTAAACCACAGACTTATAGAGTGACCCAGACTCTCTCCCTCTCATATTTAATACTTAACTTTTTTGGTTTAGTTGTTTGTTTGGGAGCAGAACCAGGAAATTCTCTGTTGACAGTCATCTATCATCAGTCATCTGAATACGATGTTTTCTTCATTGGGCTGTTAGCCACATATGCTGCAATCCCCATATTAATCATTAAACTCTCTGGATTTTCAGCCTGGTTAATGAGGAACTCCTTTTGCCCTGGAGCCTAAATACAATGTGCCACAAACAAGCCTGTTTGCCAGGGTTAGAGAATCATTGAGGTCAGGTCATCTGCAGCTGTGAACAGCTGCTAAACCCAGATTCTTTTTCTCTTTATCCCTTCCATGATATCATTTCTGTCCCTCTCTTAATATCAATCACAATTGTCTAAAACAATGACATTCTACCTTTCTCATTCTTGTCACTCTTATCCTCATCTCCCTCCCTTCATCATCTCATCACTGGGTTTCGCAGCAGACCTGGTTTTCTAATCCTGACTGTTGATTAAGGATTACAGCGAAAGAGCTTCCTCTGATGTGTCATTGCTGAGCTGCTGCTGTGTGTGTGTGGGGGGGGGGGCTCCCCCCCTCTCTGCTGTGTGCCTGCCTGCCTCCACCCAGAGGAGGCACAGAGCATGGCAGCTGTCAAACTGTCATTTGAATGCATGTTAGGCCTGCCATGCACAAAATGCGAATCAGACTTCTGTCCATTCACCTATTGCATCCACCCTTTTGTCAGTTTTCCGCTTCTCCAACAATCCTCCAACCATCCTAGGGAAGAAACGTTCACAATATGTTGATAGCACATTTTATACAACGGTAGACACAATGGCAGAAAAGTGTCTTCGCGTAATGAAATATAAACAGCATGCGTCCACATCTTTAAGGCTTTTCTTTTTCATTTTTTACGCACAACGCAGCTTTCTTTTCTCCCTGCCATCCACATATCAGCGCAGACGCAGCTAACAAAAAAAAAGTCTGTAACTCTGACAGCCAGTGAAACCAACGGTGCGATTGGTGTGAGCTTGTTCCTCTTTTCCGCCACCTCAGTCAGATGCGCACAGCTCCAACTTCCTCCTGCGCGTCCAGTGCACTGCGCTCTGCTGCCCCGTCCACATCTCCAGGCTCAACCCGGAGGAAACAGGAGCGGCTGTGAGGGGGATGGGAGCTTCGTAAAATAAGAGAAATGAGGAATATTCCCGCCGGAGTCATCCGAACTTAGAAGATCACACACCAGTACCAGAAGAGTCGAAGTGATTGGTTGAAGAGCGGTAAGTGTCCTGTCTTCATGTGGGTCTGTGAGGAGAGGGAGTTCAGAGCCAAACTGTCTGAGTGTGGGAGAGGAGACACAGGCTGGGGTTTGAATGATTCTGACAGATTCAGAAGATCAAGTTCAGTCTTGATGGACTTACAAATATAGAGTTTTACAATGAGGATGCCGACATCCAAAAAGAGGAACTTCAGGGTCTTTGAGTTGAAACAACCACCGCCTACAATCGTACTTAACATGTAGCCTATAGAGGACTTGATGAAATGAGTGTGTTTTCCTGTACTTATATTTTTGTGAGGTCCATTTTAAACATAGGCCCTACAGAGCGAGGACATTTTTGGAAAGTGAGGACATTTTGACCGGTCCTCACTTTTCAATGGGCTGTTTGACGGTGAAGACTTGGTTTTAGGGTAAGGGTTAGGACTGGGAATTTAGTTTGGATGGCTAAGGTTAGGGTTAGTGTTATGTAGCCACACTAGATGTACAAACGTGTGTGATACCCATGTTAAGTTAGTATCAGTCTTCTAGAGTCAGTCAACCTGCTGTTCCTCTACGTTGTTGGTTGAGGAATACAGGGTTATCGTAAACCCACTCTTCAAAAGACACAGCAGTTATGGGTGGTTGCTCAAGTGTTTTTGGGTTTGACAGAGTAGCAGAATTTGAATACTGGAGTAAAAGTCACCTTCCTGTTAAGAACATCTGTGAGAATGATACAAATATTGACAAACTGCCCATGAAATATTTCTAAGGGGCCCAAGGTGACTTTCTTAAAGTGCAGCGTAGAGAAAGAGAAAATAAAAAGTGGCAAAACCTAATTTTGTTTAAACATGGAACCAGAGGATTTTTAATGATTGACACTACAGAAAATGAAATTGTTAGTGACCAACTGTCCATGAAATATTTCTATGGGGCCTTAGGTGACATTTTCAAAGTAAAAGAGCAAAGTGTGCGGTAGAAAAAAGAGAAAAAGCAACAAATCCTCATGTCGGAACCAGAGGATTTTTATTTAATAGAGAAAATATATGCATTGTATGATCATACACAATATAATGAACTATCCATTAAAAAAAAATGTTTTAGACATATAAATAATGGCGCAGTAGTTCCGTGAAGTATACAGCTGTCGTATCATGTAATGACTACAAGTGTTAAACTGACATGGAGACACTGACTTTTCCTGTGCAGTATCATAATCACAAACCATGCATCCTTATTTCCTTTTTTCTTTTCTTCTTTCCCCCTGTTGGTTGTGTGCCAGACTGGCCGGTGATGTTTTTATAGCCTGAAGCAAAAAAAACCAAACAGGGAAACATTCAGCTCGGCAGCAAGAAAATCTACAAAATATCCCCCCTCCGAACAGCATATTAGTTATTGCTGTCTTCTATCTCTTGAGATACACCTTGCAGTTACGTGTTACTGTGTCTCAGCAGTTTTGTGGTAAGATAAGGGATCCTGTGTAAATGAGGCCACAGTGGACTGGTGGACTTCAGCTTGACTGCCAGACTAGTACGAGCAGCAGCCTGGTACCTTCTCACTGCTTGGACATGGTGCAGATAAACAAGGATGCAACATGATAGCTTACAATAATGTTCCATTGCATGCACATCATTTCTTGTGTGCTCATGTTATGTCGCGGTCCAAACACCCAGAAAGTTTGAGCTGGATGTGGTTTCCTTATGGTCCTGTAGATTTATGAACACACAGCCAGCTGCTTACAGTGGTAATCTATTTGCATTTATTGAGGTCATTTGATCATTATGAATGGAGTCTTTATTCACTGCTGACTTCAGTATACAGTATGATAGCAGAGACAACACCTATTTATTTTGATTCATATTTTAGAGTGGTGGAGATGGAATTTCATAAAAACATGGTATTGTGTGTATTCCATTATTCAATTTGTTATAAGTTCACACTTTTCTATCAACGAGAGGTTGATCCTTGAACTTCTCTCTGAACTTCAAGACGCTGCTGCGTCATTCCATTCTCCAATGAGAAAGTTAATGAAAAATACAATTGTTGGTTTATCTATTAATCTATTATCTATTATTTATTAATATTAATCTATGTATCTATTTAATCCAGAATATCAGGCTTTTTTACTGAGCAATTGAGTTGGTAATTATATATATACTGTATGTGTGATTTCCACCATTAGACATGATCTTTCTTTGGACATCATTGTTACAAATTATGCCAGACTTGAGTCCACAGATGGATGGCACGAAGCTTGGTCTATTTTTAATGCTGATGTCAGTAAGTCACAAGTCCCAAAGAGGAGGAGAACAAACATGAGAGAGGAGAAACAGAAGCACAGAAATGAAACTAATCGCGTGGTCAGAGCAAAAGCTGTCTCGCATAGATCTTTCTTAAAAATGTTCAAAAAGGGGAAAAACTGCTGAAGGTTGCATTAAACACTCTTTTACCCACTGGATTTAGTTTTGTTAAAGTTGTGGAGTTCTGTTATGCAAAACCCTATGAAACTTCCGCTCTACATAATGACCTTCATGCACTCATTATGGTCTAATGGGACTCTAAAGTCTTAATCACCTCATTAAGAGTAGCGTCATACCACACTGGTGGTGCTGTTTGACGTTTTGCTATTCGCCGCAGAGAAGACCTACGTGTGATCTTATTTCTACTGCTTTAGTCAAAGATTAGGCCCCGGCTCCTAGCCTGCTGTTTAGAGTGTTATAAATTTCACATTGTTAAGGAATGTGTAGTGATGTTTTCTACCTTGGTCCGTGTTTTATGCTTCGAAGTAAGCTGTAGGTGTGAGAATTGCTCAAGATAAACTGCCCCTACCCCCAGTTCAGTGCAGAGCAATGGGTTACGCAGTGTCTCTGGCTGTGGGAATTATTGAGGTTGCAGAATTTGAATGTCACATATCGAAGTTGTTTGCACGCAGATTAACATGAATCAACATCAGCTTCATTTTCACAGAGCCAAACAACCATCAGCCTCATGTTTTACATCAATAAAAATATATATTGGCATGCTTCTTCTTTTCATTACTGAAACAGAATTGCACCGAAGAGTTTTCGATCCAGTCCAGACTCTCTCCAAGGCCTCTTTTAAATTAGACATTTAAAGAGGAACGAGGTTTAAGAACAGAGCAAAAAAGGAAGCTAATACATTAACAGCACTACTTTTGACCTCAGGAACATCCTGTGTCAAAACGTTGAAAAGAAACATTTTCCATTGCTGACATATAGCACATCAATAGACACTTGCCGAAACATTGACTTCGCTGATGTTTCTTGTTGCTTGTGAATCAGAACACCCAACGCAGGATATCAGTGGTAGTTTTGGCCATTTAATGGTGACATGTGACATCTAAAATAATCTTTCATCTGTTGGTGTGATAACAGGGCTCTGCTGTGTAGCGCTCATGTTAAACATTACTGCCTTTGTCTGGTGCAGTGAGCTGCTTCTCTGAGTTGAAGAGAGCTAGGTTACAAAGTATAACCCTCTTCTGTCCACTGCAAGAACGTGAGCCAACATGCGCTACAAAACACAGTTTATATCTTCCATAACAGTTCCCTCTTTGTTTTTGTTTCTGTTAGACCTTGTTCCGCGGATATGCTTTCAAATTTACATGAAGATTCAAAGAGAACATATCACGTGATGTTTCATATCAAAAATGAGGCTCTTGGGGTAGTATCTTTATTGCCACAGTGACTAGAAAGTGTTCGAGTGTTCATTCTTGGAATATCTTAATAGTGCTCATGGTAAGTGTCGCAGCAGTTCTGCAGCTGCTTTCCTGATATCTTTGGAAATTCATTCAACCAGAATAAACACTGATGATGTAGAGATTGCAGAAGCAGTACTGTTCATCCAGGAAGCTGACTGAGTTAGCAATGAGGCCTCTTTGTCTTCTCAAAGATGTCCCTGTGGCAAGCAATATCTATTAACCTCATGTGATATGCCATTTTCACACCAGCTCCACCCAATATGAGACATATTTAGAAATACATTTACAGTGTGTCACAGAGCTCAAAGGGTCAGAGTTTGCAAGGAAAATCATAGTGGATAATGCTGCCGACAAATCATAAGCTGCAAGTGGACTGTGTTACTATGTAGTAGTATGCTGTACAATTCATTCCATTACTATGAATAATTTCGACTTAGAGAACTTTGCCTGATTATTGCATTAAACAACCCAGTGGCCTCTTCCTGCAGCTGCTAACCACATGTGTCTGGCTGTTTCTCCTCATGTCGTCCTGCTGCTGAAGGCACCATGGGCTGTGTGGGCTCAAAGAAGGAGCAGGAGCCTCAAAGCAAAGAGACGGGTAACGATGAGCTGCAGAACCGCGCACAGACAGCCCATTATGTCAAAGACCCCACCACAGGAAACCCAAGCAAAACTGTAAGTGATAACATTGAAACAGTGACTCACTGGTGTTAATCATATAATTACATTTCATAGAAGTAAAGGTATACACTTGCTTCATTAAAAAACTAAAAGTGGACATTGTATATATAGGTTGAGTACTTTGCTAAATACTGTCACTGAACACAATTTTAGATCTTAAGCCACATTATTGTATATCTGAACAAAAAAGTACAAATACAAGTAATGGGCACACACACACACACATACACACACACACACACACTTGGGTCTCATGACATTACTATGACCACATTAATTCCCTGGGGACTTACCTTAAACTTAAGCAGAGTTACTGCTTGCCTTACCCTAACCCTTATCCTAACCTTAACCTTAATCCACCCTTAAACATATCTTCACCCTACAATTTAGTAATTTAGGTTGTGTGGACTTGATTTTTGACCAGTCCCCACAATGTGACTGTAAACAGATTTTGGTCCCCTCAACATTCGTAATACCTGGACCACACAGACACACATACACACCTCTATTTTACGCTCATAAGCATGAAGCATTTCCTAATCCCTTACCCTAAACGTAACCATCAAATTAAATACCTAATCCTAATTCTTATTCTAACTAAACCTTATTCTAATTTGAACCCCAACCCTAACCCTAACACTTACCCTAACTCTACCTAAACCTAATTCTTACCCTTAATTTAAGTTTTTACCCTTTAACGGTGTGTTGAAAAACTGAGGACCATTCAAAATCTTCTCACTTTCCAAATGTCCAATGTCGTCACTCTGTAAAGTCTATTCTCAAAATGGTCCTCACAAAGATATTAGTACGACTACAAACAGTGAAGGTGTGATGATGTGCAAAGCTGATAACAGCTTCACTGGCTTCACGTTTTTTTTTCTGAATTCAAACCTTGTGATTCTGTGACTGTTGTGAGTGTGACAAGAGGCAGTTTCTATGTGCTTCCTCAGAGAAAGCGTACTGATTTACTGTACATGGGGCCTGTTGTCAGCTTGCATACTGACCAGACAATTTGTATAGCTACTGCGTGTAAAGTGTGGCTCCTCTGGCTACTGCTTCCTGTATGCTGACTGTAACGCCTCTCGCCCTCAATGAAGAAAGAGGAAGTGATAGAAAGCAGAACTAGAATACTCAGACAGGGGATGTTTAAACTGCAGGATTAAGGTCTAATGTAAAAAACATGGCAGCCTCCGTAGAGAGGACCCCCTCGATGTAAATATAAAGTATTTAAATATAAATGGTCTTTTCTGGGGTAAAGAAAACTACAATTCATACAATTTAGATGAAACGAACTAGTGAAAACATCATGAGGATTATTCTACATTAAATTTCTGCCAATAGTTCTCTTTCACCTAAATCTTACACACTGGACCTTTAAAGTTCATATGACAAACTCCTACTTTGTTTTCTGTGCAGCGATTCAGGCTGAATTCGGGTGTTAATATGATAAATAATGATCTCAGTTTGTTTTGGACTATCTTTCACACTCCAGCGAGAAAGTAGACTTCACGACAATTCTCTCCTTTAAATATTATACTGTACATTCTGTATAAAGCCTTCAATCAACTCATAAACATAATGCCAGACATATGGATGTGAAGATATATATTAACAATACAAAAATATATTTACTGTATGTGTAAATGTGAATGTTTGATAGAACTGGCCGCTTCTCTTTGCTTTACACCACCATGTCCCTGTCTTTCTCTCCACAGAGCAAAACGCAACCCAATTCATCTGGTGAGTCACCATTTTCTTTACATGCTTCTGTACTTTTACATAGGCAGTAAAAAAAACATTAGGAACCTGCATTTAATTCTGCGTCTTGTTTTACCGTCAATGACTAATAAGTGGTTGACTAATGGTCAACTGCAGGGCTGTTTCATACCTCGCACCACAGACAAGACATTTCGAACAGTGTGATGTAGGCCAGTGCTGATTGGACACAGAGAAACTCTGAAGCTCAACACGTGAGAGAGAGTGAGGAAGGAGAAGAAGTGTGTGGGTGTAGAGTGATAGTCTCGATCTCAGCCTCACTGCACAGATGTACAGAGGCCTGACTGCTATTATTATCAGTCATACTGTACAAGGAAGTCAGTTACATAGTCAAAGTGGAAAGGCAGACACAGTTCAGAGCAGTGTCCACCAGAAAACACACACACACACACACACACACACACACACACACACACACACACAATACTCACACACAGTGCACACATGCTCACACTTTGCTTGTATTTCTTGCAGCAGGGGAAAGTATTGCCATGGCACTGTATGACTATGAGGCCATTCACGATGGAGACCTCGGCTTCAGGAAGGGAGACAAGCTCAGGATCTTGGAGGAGTAAGTGGAACATCAGCAGTGAGAATTATCATTTCATCTTTGTCGCTTCAGTTCTAAGTGCAGTTGGTGGTTTTATTTGTCAAACAAGAAATAATTACACGTGTGTCTTTGTCCCCCACCCTGTCTCTCTCTCTCTCTCTGTAGGATGGGGGAGTGGTGGAGAGCCATGTTAATAAGTACAGGTCAGGAAGGCTACATCCCCAGTAATTATGTAGCCAAAGATACTCTGGAGGTAGAGGAGTAAGTATTCTCACATCTAATTTTTTTCTGACTATGAATATGACATAATATAATTAAATGCCTTTGGTCTTAGGAAGCTGGCAAATTAAATTAAAGTACATTATTAGTGTTATTCTTGCAATTATTAAACCTACTTTATAGTAGCAGTATCTTGTGCTATATTTGCAATAGGTCTTCATGAACTGTACTGTCAGTGTCCTGGATGATTACATGGAAAATAAAGCATACTATGAATACATGGGAAATAAAGGCTCGCACAAGTTGAGCCGTTTGGGAGGTTTCTGTACTAACTGATCTGCTTCCTGTTGTTGAGGTGGTTCTTTAAGGGCGTGAGCAGGAAAGATGCTGAGAGGCAGCTGCTGGCTCCAGGGAACAAAACAGGATCCTTCATGATCCGAGACAGTGAGACGTCCAAGGGTGAGTAAGAAGTAGATGGTTTGTTCTGTGGTGGAGCGATCGCAGTAACCATGAAGACAAATTATTGATGCCAGGGTTTGAATCACACAGTGGCTTTATGGTGAACATTGGCCTTCTTTTTTTCTTCTTTTTTTTTTTCAGCAACCTTAATGTACGTAAAATAAAACATATCCTCTGACATGATAGTGAACTATTTGGAGAGCTCCCCCAAACTTCTCAGGGAAGGCTTCTGTCCTTTTCAGGAGAGCAGAGCTCCCCTTTGCTCCCTGGAATTCAAACCCTGATTGACACCAAATGTTCACCTGACAAGTCATGCAATTTGATTTTACTGCTCCAACAAAATTGTTTCTATAATACAGATAAACTTCATTTAATTTCTTTTACCTTTCATTTTAGGCCCTTGGTTATGCTAGTGTACAACACAAACCAAGTGTACGAGTACTACATACAACAGAGTAATGACTTTAATGTTAACTAGTGCAATGTCCAATCTAAACTTGCTCTGGAGCTACTTCAGGATTATTAGTGAAATAAACTGTTCTCCACTTTTTGTTGTTTGTGTGCTGAATGTTGTGTCCATAACTATGTATAAACAGTCTATGGTTCAAAGTGAAGTATGAAAACTGTATTCATCCTCCCTGGTTTATCTGCAATTAACATAAGCCATTACATTACATTTCATTTAGCTGACGCCAAAGCAACTTACAATAAGTGCATTCAACCATCAGGGTACAAACCCAGAACAGCAAGAATCATGAGTACAATTTGCTTCAGAAGAGCTGAACCACAAGTTCTACATGTAAGAGCCATATATAAGTGTAACTAAACTAATTATCAAGACTTATAATTAATTAATTACAATTGACTTAAAGGTACAGTGTGTAGAATTTTGTGATATCCAGTGTTGAAGTTGCATGTTGCAGCTGAACACCCCTCACCTCACCCTCTCCTTCCAAACATGAAAAAGAACCTGTGGAAGCCTTCAGTTTGTCCAGTCTGGACTAATGTAAAAAACATGGCGGCCTCCGTAGAGAGGACCCCCTCTCCATGTAAATATAAAGTATTTAAATATAAACTTATTTGTGTGTGCCGTTTGTCTGTGTCTCGGTCCCATGTGGTGAAATGTAAATAATCAAAATGGCAGCAATGCAGATGAAGCTGTGCTAAAACGCTGTGATAAACCCACTGTACCAAAGAGCAGAAAGACAAAGCTGGCAGCTACAGTAAGCACATTGTGCAGTGTTTCACTGCTAAAGAGTCGTACATCTGTCAGTTTAAGCATTATTTGCTCAGAGTCATTTAAAGGCTGAGCACTATTCCAACTGAATTAGGTGGGTTCAAAGGGGAACTCTAAATTTTGACACACAAAATTAGGTTTAGCAGTAATGAGTAGAGGTACTGTGAAAACAGTTGTATCATGTTTTCTCTGGATTAAAGCCTTAAATTCTAAACTACACAATGTTCACAGGGGAAAATAGTTTTTGGCTTGAGACTTAGATCTTGGGAGTTTGACCATAATTTTCTTTTTGTCTAGAAATGTACGCCAGTGTCAGTAAAGAGATATTGTCTGTGCTTATCTTGTGTATCAGACTGTTTTTTCTTTCTTTTGTACCACAGGCAGCTACTCTCTGTCTATCAGGGACAGCTGTACTGCTGACACAGTCAAACATTATAAGATCCGAACACTGGACAACGGAGGATTCTACATCTCTCCTCGCATCACCTTCAGCACGCTGCAGGAGCTGGTCAAACATTACAAGAGTAAGCTGACCACTGTCAGTCTCCCCACTTTATTTTGTAACTTAATTGGTCTTGTTATCCACATTAAATGAAGATGAATGGAGCAATTGAGGAATCCAAAGTCATCTTAAGGGGTTCATTTCACAACACAACACACTCTGGAAAATATCTGTGACACATACTAACTTTATAGAATGTTACAGCCATTTACAAGGAATGTCTTTATTTCATACAAACATTCGCTTGGACTCAAGGACTAACTGATTGTTACGATATTTGCTCCCTTAACTCAAACATTTATACTCTAATTATAACACAATTTCAAACTAATATCTAATTGGATAAAAAGACAAAGTGGTAACAATTTATATCCAAAAGGTCAAAAGTCAACTTCACAGTGACACTGGGCATTATTTATCACCATAACTCAATATACACAATATAACTCAAAAACACTGCAATATGACTGGGTGGTGGAGGCAAACAACCGCGATGCAATTAGTACAAAACTTATATTGAATTGAATTGTGATACTATCTAATTTTCCTTAAAAATAAGAAGAATGTAGTTCTGATTGTAATTTATAAAAACAATGCATACAATGAAAAAAGCTAGACAATAAATTCATAAATGTAATAATAAATTCATAAATAAACAAACTGAATCAAGAAATTTCAATTACTGTTTATTCAAGAGCAGGGAGATGGCCTCTGCCAAACCCTGACCAATCCGTGCCTGAGCCCCAAACCTGAGAAGCCATGGGAGAAAGATGCCTGGGAAATCCCAAGATCATCTCTCAAACTGGAAAAGAAGCTTGGTGCCGGCCAGTTTGGAGAGGTCTGGATGGGTGAGATATATCTGAATTGTTTTAGAATCCAATTTTTTTGGGTGGCAGAATGACGTTAACAATTAATTTTCTAATGCTAATTATTGTTTCAAGCTACATACAATAAGCATACCAAGGTAGCAGTGAAGACCATGAAACCTGGCAGCATGTCGGTTGAAGCCTTCATGATGGAAGCCAACCTCATGAAGACGCTTCAGCACGATAAACTGGTCCGACTCAATGCTGTGGTCAGCAAGGAGGAGCCTATCTATATCATCACTGAATACATGGAGAAAGGTGTGTGTGTGTGCGTGCGTGTACAGATGAAGTACATTAAAAACATAGGTGCACAGTTGTTTTTTTTTCTTTTAACTCAGGTCAATGACTGTTCATTCATTATTTCTTTATTTGTTCATTTATTTAGCTTTTAAAATATACATTCTGCTCTCAAACTGTATTTAACTTGGTCAAATCACAAGGCAACTAAAGTCATTTCCTACCAGAGGGAACTTATGTGTTTATGTGAAAGAGTAGCTCAACTAATTTGAGAAATAAAAACGGAAATCATGCCTTTATTTATTTCTGTATATCTGCATTAGAGAGCGTTCACGCCCTTTGTAGCTAACAGACTTCCTTCACAGCTAGTTTGAAGTAACAGCTACGAGTAGTATTAGGTTGGAACTCTACCAAGTGATAGTTGTGCAAACGCCCTCATTGTGCACTTGCTTTTCATAACTGTGACAATTTATCTCTCAATTACCAATGGACATGAAATTCATTTAGCATTAAATATACCGGCTGAACCTTTTTATATCTATATTTTTTTGCTACAGATATGTTCTGATAAGGTGAGAGTTTGTGCAGCGCATTGACTTTTACATATAGCATGTGTTTCTTGATGTCTTTGTGTGTGTGCCTACAGGTAGTTTACTGGACTTCTTAAAGAGTGATGAAGGAAACCGTGTCCAGCTCCCAAAGCTCATCGACTTCTCTGCCCAGGTGAGTCATCTTCAGTCCATTCCATAAGTTCCATAGGTTTATCAGTTCCAGTCCAATCTGTGGCCCCTCTTAGAAAGTAACAGCTCCTCGCTGCAGATGGAGAGCTACAGTATGTGCCCTCTGTCTGTGTATGTGTAAACATCTAAAATAAAATTCCTGCGTACATCTTGGAATGTGTCAAGCTATGCTGACAAAGACCAAACAACTTCCTCTTTTAAACAACCTGCACAACTTTGAAGTGTGAATGACTTTGTAAGTTTATAAGGGAGTTAGCACCCTGCTGCATGAGGTGCTGGATAACTCATACAAAGAACAGCGAGGGAAAAGGAAGAAGGTTAGTGCTGCCTGTTATAATTCAGCCCTGCCATGAGCAACTTTGTGATAATACCAGATAAAATAGGTCTTATCTGGTGCCAACAAGTGTCCACTGCTTTGATTACCAGCGGTGTAGAAGCAGATCAGCGTGTATCTCCTTCATAGTATGCCTGCGAGCATAAAACTGTCTGCAACAAGGATTCGCTGATCATGCTGCAATATCATTGCCAGTGACGGTTATGATGGGAAACGATGTTTTGACTCTTAAACTTTGACTTGTTGTCTCCAGACTGCAGAGGGCATGGCCTACATTGAGCAGAGGAACTACATCCACAGAGACCTGAGAGCTGCCAACATCCTAGTCAACAAGGCTTTGGTTTGCAAAATTGCTGACTTTGGCCTTGCTCGAATTATTGAAGACAACGAGTACACAGCCAGGGAAGGTACAACGCAATATTCTCTGTCACACGTTGTGTAGCCACATCAGCACAAGTTATTGACAAACTGGGGAAGTGATGAAGTGGGAGCAGTCACTGTTTCATCAGTTTAAGGGAAAATACTTGTTCCTCATGTCGTATAACAACATGAGGAACAAAAATGGTTGAGTGAAGATGAGAATGACTTGCTTTAGGCTAATTTAATGAGTGGAGGAAGTTAGGTGAGGGGATATGAGAGCAGCCAGGGACCATTTCTTAAAAATCTGAAATATCCCCCAACAACTAGGAGCCAAATTCCCTATCAAATGGACAGCCCCGGAGGCCATCAACTACGGCTCTTTCACCATCAAATCTGATGTCTGGTCCTTTGGCGTCTTGCTGACGGAGATTATCAGCTATGGGCGCACTCCATACCCAGGTAGGTGGAGCACTGATTTCAGAATATCGTCATCATTTTCAGGAATGCCTCTGAAGAGCATGGACCTTACACTTATTCGTTCACAACAATTTGATCCAATTGTCTTCTTCCTAAACTCTTTTCGATTTAGTTTTATTCTTTTTCGCGTAGATATCTCATTGTCGTATATTTTGACCTCTCTAACCCAGGATGGCATCGTATCTATGCCATTTTGTGAAGATCTGCATGAACATACTTGCACCCCAAGACATATACAGTATAATAACTCCACTCCTGGAGGCTGGAAAGTTTACATCGAAACAATGTATATTCATTTTATGCTACTTCATACTTCGACTCTGATCCATATCAGAGCAAATTATTGTTTTTTCTACTCCATTAAATCTATTTGACAGCTTTAGTTACTTTTAAGATGCTGATTTTAATATGAAAGATAATATAACTGACTTTCAGAACACAACACAATGTTAAAGACTTCACCTGAATCCATACAGTCTGGGCCTTAATACTGTGGAGAATTTGTTGCTGTTGTGAATGCGTCTGAGCAGAGAACCCCTGCTGCAGTGTGCACCTGTGAAATACAAACTGCTAAAAAAGGTCCTCAACAGTTGTTTAGATATTGTAGTTTGGCCCAAAGTGGTGGTCCGACTGAAAGACATGACAATAGTATCCATACAGCCACAAAGTTAGCATCCCAGCCTAAGTCATCTAACGACAGATAATTAGTTTCTCTTCCTTTTTTAAGAGATTGTGGCTCTGCAGCCTCTCCTCAACACAATCACATGCTCTTGTTTTCAGGGATGACCAACCCGGAGGTGATCCGTTTCCTGGAGAAGAGCAACAGAATGCAGCGCTTGGAAAGCTGTCCCACCGAACTCTATGAAATCATGCTGGAGTGTTGGAAGAACAAGCCTGAGGAACGTCCCACCTTTGATTACCTGCAGAGCGTTCTGGAGGATTTCTACACAGCCACAGAGAGCCAGTACCAGCAGCAGCCATGAGACTGAACATCCGCAGACTAGCTTTCTCTTACAGTATTCTTCCAGTCATACTTAGCAGTAGTTTCATACAGCAGTGCAATTTAGAGAGTCCTTTAAACTGCACTGAGGCCATCTTTTTTTCTCCTTCTTATTCACATGATATACAAGGGACTGTACAAAACTTATTGGGGAGTGTTGTAACGTCTATTTTATCTATCTTATCTATTTTATCTAGCAAGAAGTATCTCTATCTTATAAAACTAGGCCCTAACTAGTATTTTTAATATTTTATTGGGCCACTCTCCTATTAAACAAATTATAGCATTAGAAAGTTATATAATCACAATGGAAAGCTTAAAACAATAAAAATACAGATACAAAATACAGAAAAAATACTGTCTAATTGTTTTTACTGTTAATATTATAACACCGCAAGACTACATTCTGTATAGGTTTGGTCAGAGGCTAATATGCAATATCAGCTGTACTGGATATTCATCTTAAAATACTGACCATTAATCATTTGTAAATCAGTAGATCAGTACATCAGGTGTACATTCAGATACTTATTTCTTTGTTACATCTGCAGTCTTTAATATGAAAAGTGACCCACAACAAAAAGCTTCATATAACTTTGTTTTTACTCTGCTCATTTTTCTACTACATATTGCCCAAATAATGTGGAACACTGTATTGCAAGATAAAGCTGCACATGATTATTCACCTGACAGCACTTATCTGATATCTGGAGCAGCGGTTCTCTACAGATTCAGCCTCAGGACCCACATTTTCCTGTTATTAAGCTGCCACCAAAATGTTTGAATCACTCAAATTTATTTCACTCAAAAAATTGGGCAGTGATACAAAATGCACTCATGCACAGTTAAAAACATGAAATAAAGGCTAAAAGTGCAGAGTTATAGACATACTGTATATGCTTTTTAACTAAATCTTTGTTATGAGGGGGTATGGACTGTAGGTATTTCTAGTTGGAGAATCATGACAGGAATAGGAACTCAGACAAAGAACCCGGAACACTTCTCACATCTTTATTTGCATACTTTGTGACCATGTTCCCCTCCATCACTTTCCTCACACATACAGATCACACACACACTCTTGCTGCAGCACTCATATCCTGTGTTAACTGTACCATTACGTCATACCAGATGTTCAGCGAATTAACACTTACCAAAACAGCACACTCTTCTTACAGTGACCAGGCAGAGGGTTTTCAACTCTTCTGGACAATAAGTGTATCAGTGAAAATAGCAAATATGCTTGGAAAAGCCCTGTCTCTGCACAACAAGACCAGAAATCCAGGGATACAGTAGTTGTAACATTTCCAAGGGAAAGCTGAAATAAAAGGGACTTTGGGGTTAAGAGATTTCCACAATATCTACCTAGTAATTCCACAAACCTCGTGTCTTAAACTGTTCATCTAATCGAGTTCACACTTGTCACACTTAAAAAAGGTTTTCTTCTATGACTTCAGATAAACTACAGTAGTGGTCAGTAAATGGATCATTCTACGGTTCAAAATCGCAGCCAGATCATTTTGATAATATGATTATTTTCATTTTACTATTTTTTTGTTTTGTTTTAAGTTTGTGAACTTGGGTCTGAAGATTGTGTGAATGTTTAATAGACCTCTGACATAGCCAGCATGCAGTGTATGAAAAAATACCAGCAGTTAAGTCAATCATTCAAACTTATGTATAAGCAACACACGTGAATAGTAATAAAGCTAATTCTGATTCATTTTATGAAAAACACAACACAGAACACATACCTTTCTAACTGACTGATTATAAAAAGCAAAGTTTATTGTAGAACTGTTTGAGGAGGACTCACTAATGAGAAGCAATAATTCTGAAGTAGCTCCAGAGCTTTAAAACAGAAGATTACTGCACTAGTTTTCAAATTCTGAAGACTCCTTTTCCACCCTCACTCGCTATATAATTTTTGTACAGTCCCTAACATTGCAAAACCAACTGTCTAACATTTTACGTCTGTGTAGAAGACCAGACTATCCAGTACATGCTGTAAAAGCATAACTATTGCATTATGTGTAATATATAATATTATTTAACGTAGAACACAAATCTGGTGAAAGACTGGATTTATCTGTTGTGCTCCAACACACATTTTGCATCCACAAGGTACAACCACAACACAGATATTCACAGTGAATTATGTAATAATCATGTAAGCAAAGCTGTTAAATGAACAGTGTTTGACAAAGTCAAAGAAAAGTAGATACTGTGACCTGTGGACTTCACAAAATGCAAAATATGGCTGAGCATTTTGAAATCCTTAATTTAGTTTCCATTGATATTTTTCCATTATGCTGTAGCTTGATTTCACATTACTCATTGATTGTGCCTTTTGCTGATTTTTAAAAAATATATTTTTTAAAAACGGAAAGTTAGCAATATATTTTATATGCTCTCTCTTTAATGATTATAAAGAATTACCATTATTTAGGAACTGGGTATTAGAAGCCATATTAACTTATAATACTTGATTGATGATTCTTCTCTCCTGTTATAAAGTTAGTGTTGTGCATACATACATGCCTTCCTTTTCTGTTTTGGAAAAATAATGAATGTGGAAATAACAGACTAATGTGCTGTACATCAATGTATCTTGAATGTAATGAACTTTTCAAATGTAAATGCTCTGTTGTTTTCCTTTTAGAAAGCTTGTGATTTTTCTAAACTGTTGTAAATAGTATTGGTTAAGATTTGTAGCACAATCCCTCAGTGCTGGCATGATAATATTTTGGACATATGGAGAACATTTTATTAAACACAGAGCAAATTATGTTATATTAATTATGTTAGTGTTGCTGTGACACACATAAGAGTTGATACCTGACAATATTGATTGAAATCCCAGCTCTATACATAATGTACTGTAAGGTCAAGAATATTTTTGTGTTTTTCTTTATCAATAGAAAACCCTTTGTTTAGTTTGTAAGACGCTTGGTTCAATTTGACTGTGATGAAAATGTTCAAATAAATAGTTTTTCGAAAAACAATTGCTCCTATTTCAATAAATCCATACATTCAAAGGTTCAGTGCAGAGTTTAGTGATATCTAGAGGTGAAGTTTCATGTTGCAGCTGAATACCCCTCACCTCACCCTCCCCTTCCCTATATGAAAGAGAACCTCCAGTAGTCATGAAAACTCAAAAGGTTATAGTTTGTCAAGTTTAATCCACTGAGAGGTCCCCCTCTCCATGTAAATATAAAGTATTTAAATATAAAGGACTCATTCTACGGTAAAGAAAACTACAATTCATACAATTTAGATGAAACACACCAGTGAAAACATCACAAGGATTATTTCATATTCAATTTCTGCCAAAAATCCATTTCACCAGAGTCTTACATACTGGACCTTTAATAGTTAACAAATAAGAAATGACTATTATTCAAAGAATGTTTGATTTCATCATTATGTTAGCAGCGATGAATAATGCACTTAGGCATTGTAGGTGCATCAAATTTTAAAAAGTCAAGGCAGTTTTATTCATATAGACATTTCATACAGAGAGGTAGATTCAAGGTGTGGAACAATGTTAAAGAAATCCATTTCAAATCAGAAAGCACAATTTGAAACCAATTTCAAGTTAAAATGAAGATTAAAAGGAGGCAAAGAGATTAAAAGACGTAATATGAATCAAAAGGATCAAATCTATATGTGTAAAGAACTAGAAATAAGCTGAAGGAGAAAAATAAAATAGATGGAAATGTGTAAAATCAAATTAGAAATAAATTGGGGAATAAAAATAGGATCAAATCTGTCTCCAGAAATACAAACATGAATTCATCGATAACCGACACCTCGTGCGACGTCACTAATGACACGTATTCAAAATGGCGGCCGCGGCTATGGTGAGTGTCAGCGAACTCTTTTTCTTCAAACTCCAAATGTGTGTTTGTGTGTCCCCTCGTTGACTCTGCTCTGTGCTGGGTCGGACCCGGCGTCTCCCGCGGTCTGTAGACCGCGACACGCGAACTAGTCGCTGGTTTACACGAGTTCTCTGCTGTTTGGAGGTTGGCGAGCTGGCTAACTGCTCGCTGGAGTTAGCTAAGTTAGCTAGCGTTGCCTAGCTTAAATGTCAGCGAGCCGTGGTTTAAACACTGAATGTCGCCGTTCGTCCGGTGTGTTGAAGTGTACTGACGGAGTGCAGGTGAACACGCGCACAGTGTGCGGGCTGTCATTCAGTGCAGAGCCAGGGCACATCGGCTGAGCTGAACTTTGGCTTGACGTTAGCTGTTAGCAGCGGAACCAGGCAGCACCGAGTCGTGGTTGTTGCCGGTGGAAAGTGTTGAAATATGTTAAGGTGACAACAACAGACCGGCGACAAAGCACAAACACAACGAGAGGAATCCCTTCGTCTTCTTTAACTGTGATCGTAGTTTGCGAGAACACAATGGTTGTTTGAATCAGTAGCCCTGCTTGCTAACTTCCTTTAGTGCTATTGCATTACTCAGAGTGTCATTAATCCATGTGCTCCCCTGTTCATCGTGTTTGGTTTTGTAGAATTAAACCGCAGGGATGCAATCGGGCTTGTTAACACGAAACAATCGAAAGTTCTGAGTTGAAACCACGTCTCTTGAAGGTAAATCGTGATTGGTATATATCATTAAACTCCCCTCGCATTACTATTTGTAAATGGTTACATGGCAGCAACTCCAGCCTCGTCTAGAATATGGTTTACCAGTAAAGCAGATAAGTGCAGTCCATATATTACTCCGTTTAGATTGTGAATTGGATTTTATTGTGGACTCTGCCTCAGTCACTCTGAGGCTTTTAATGTTGTTGTTGTCGAACAGTTTTGGGCTGCTGTTTTATCTTTGGGATTGTTGTCCTGTCAGAAATCAAATCTTCTGTCTGGTATCGTTTTTCGACTGCTGACAGAGGCCGGTTTTCGAAAGACTCATGGAAGAGTCTGTCTCTCACACAGCCTTAGGCAAACATGGGCGTGAGCGTTCCAGGGTGTCTATAGAAAGCTGCTCTCATGGAAGCACCCGGGGGGACCCGTAGCTTTGTCTTACAGAAACAGCCAATGATCTGCATTTGGCAGACTAACATGGTATAGTTTTTTAATTGGGGGAAAAATACTGGGGAAAAATGGTAAGTGTCTTTAAAAAAAAAAAAGTATTCTTCCCCAGTTAATTCTTTGATTTGTTCAGAATGTTTTTCGACTCCATGATGTAGTCATCCTTTGCCAGGAACTGTAGTGTTAATACTTTGCTATGCATTTTATATAAGGCAATTTATATGCATTTTTATTATAGACAGCTAGCTACTTTTTATTGATTTGAATGAATCTCTCTCCATCAGAGGACAAATTTGGTGCAATGATTGTATTAGTTTTCCCAGCAAAGTACACTGCTGTGTACTTTTGGGGGGGGGGGGGACTTGGAGCCTCAGTGTTAGTTTTGGGGAAAACAAGGCATTTTGTGCAGTTTGATGAATAGACTAAGTCAAATGTCATAATGAACGCATATTATTTAGCTTCTATGTGGTGAAATATAGTTGGTGGTGTGTGTGTGGCAGGAGACGTGGTTGGCCTTGCTGCTGTTGGCCTTGTTGCCTGTGGTGCGGCCCTTCTATGTTCCCGGAGTTGCTCCCAGGGACTTCCAAGAGGGTGAGGCTGTAGATATTAAGGTAAGATTCAAATTAATTTGATCAACATTTCACAGAATAGCAGGAACATGTTGATATGGTTGTTTATTAGTTGCCACAAGTGCCTTCCATCACAAACGTTCTGTGTCTAACCCACCCAGTGTCCTGCTCCAGAACATCGAGTTTAGGTCACTTTTTGTTCATTCATTTTGTCCAGACCGTTAAATGATGCATTATTGCTATTTTAGTTCTGGTCTGTTTCATGTTCCATGTTCCCACTGACTTATTACACATTAACAAGCGCTGTAGGGAAGAAAATATATGGTCTTACATAGGCCTCTCTCAATAACTAGAAAGAGAAGCATCCTTGTTGCATTTTGATACAGCAGTGTTTGTATACACAATATGTACAGGGCACTCGCAGTAGCGTTGAGGTAAGGTCGGTTAGTCAGTCAGGCATACCGTGGCATCTTCCTTTGGGAAAACTCCACAGGTAATAAACAATCCACCAGATGATTTCCTCCTGAAGGCCAATTCATGGTTCTGCGTCAAAGATACACTGTAGCATACACGTAAACGTGTACCCTTCTCAGAGCCCTATGCTTCACCCTAATGTGCATCTCCCCAAAAATGTAAATAAGGATAGAGGCGATGCAGACTACAAGGGCTGTGATTGGTCTGCTTGGAAGCATCAAATTTCCAGCAGACTCTGCGCCATTTTTGACTTGAGTAGGAGGAATGAACACAGACGACTTAAATAATTATTGTGGTTGTGTTCATCTAACAGACAATAAGTCAATAACATCATTATCGTGACAGGCCTAGTCAAACATGGAACTCATTGATTGAGTTTTGGTGACTTCTCACACTACATAGAGAATATTTTGATCACCTTTAGGTTGAAGAACTGCCGTAAATCACTGAAGTAGCACACAAGCACAACACACGCACAAATAAACCACAGCCACATTTCAAACCACAAAGAAGTGCACAGATTAAAATTTAAAAAATTATATATCCATAGTCTGGAGCCTGAAAAGGTGGATCTCCGTCCAGACCAGGCTTTCCCTCGAGCTGAAACACTGAAACTAAACAGATAAAAGATACCAGAGTCTGTTTCACACAAACAAAGCAGGTTAGACAGGAAAGCACATATGAGGCCTACCCCTTGCTTTTGTCTTTGAACATTCACTAAGAAATGTCTGTCTACTGTAGCCCTTCTGAAGACGAGCAGCCATTTGTTAAAGTTAAACCTGGACTTATTTTTTTGTTGTTTGTTTGTTTTGGGGTGGTTGCATTTAACTGCAAAATTAAATTTAAAACTATGGAACAATATATAACACTGACATTTACATTAAAAAAAAAAAGCTATTCACACACTAATTTCACTATGCAGTCATCACAATCTGCGACCCTGTCAGTCAGTCAAATGATTTGTTTTTCAGGCAGTGAAGCTGACCAGCTCCCGGACCCAGCTTCCTTATGAATACTACTCCCTCCCTTTCTGTAAGCCAGAATCTGTTTTCTACAAGGGAGAGAACCTGGGTAAGTGGACTGCTGTGGACATGTGTGGTAATTCATCTGGGAAGTTTTTATAAATTTTCACCTCATTTGACCTGATCATTTTTAATATTATCTT